TTGAAAAATCCTAATTTCCCCCTCTTTCTCCCTTTTCCCTTCACCATGCAGTGTCCAAAGGGTACCTCTCCCTGTTCTTGAGTCTCTCACAGACTCTAGTCTGTGCTCTGCGGTCGGTGCCCTGATCAGCCGGAACGCTCTTTTTACTGTTTGCACAACTTTCTATTTCTGGTGGTGGTTTTCACCCAGTGTTAGGGCTGCCAACAGCACCTGCCTCTGTCTTTTGTACGGCTTCCCTCAAACTCTCCCTGTGGCATCTCTGTGATACATCCGCGTGATGAAATCGTGTTCAGGTATTTTTTAAGGAGTGTGATAGATCTTTGCGTAGCGATACAGATGATCTTCAAGATCTATTGCTAAATGGAAAAAGAAGATGCAGACGTACATGATAGTACCTTGTCATATGTATGCATCCCTTTGCTTTTATTTATGGAACTTGATTTTATTCTAGTAACACATTCGCATGGTTGAAATATAAAAAACATGAAAAGAGAGCTTGCTCACTGGAAATTGGTAAGGTTTTCCCTTTTCGTTTTGGCGTTGTTTTGAAGTGCAGCCATTCTCTGTCTTCTCCCGCGGAGATGTGGTTTTGTAATTCTGCATTGTTTTTCTTTTCCATTTATTTATTTTGAAACAAACTTTGGGAAGAGTATATAAATATAATACAAAGAAGCGCTTTTTTCCCCCCCTGAACCGTTTGAGACTGTGTTGCAGACCTGATGTAATTCACCCAGATACTGATCTTTTTTCCTGCAAACAAGGACATTCTCCTAGTTAACCACAGTACATCAGAACAGGGGTATTGATATTGATCTGTCTTTAGGCATTATGTGGGAGATCCATAGGTACGCAATTGCCATAGTTTGCAGCTACTCAGAAAGCCCAAAATATTAGATAAAATCTTCATCATAGGTGAGTGACCCCATGTCCATGGATTCCTCCCAATTTGTCTCATGTTCCACCCCATCTAAAACCCTCAAGATCCACTTGCAATGATCCCCAGGTTCCTGCCAAAACACATTAGCCAGACCCTACAATTCATGGAGCATGAGCTGGGATCTGCCACAGGCAATGAAAGTGGTAGGGGCAGGTCTTAAGGTGAGTGAGTATCATCCCAGGAGACACCTGCTTATGGAGGAACGGTGACCTCCGATTAAGAGATGCTGGTCTCTCATTGCAAGGGCATCTCAGGGGAATTGGGAGTTCGACATTTTCAGGTTTGTCCCCACAAATGACCCAATCCCAGATCTCAGATTTCATTTCCTCTGCTGCTGTCACCCTGAGACTCTGGCCTGACTTCTGCGGGACCGCCCATTGCCATTTGCATGGTTGGTTTCCATGAAGATCTGTCGACTTCTAAAGCCACTCAATCCCCCAGTGCCTGCCTTCCACCCCCGTGCCCTCCCAAGAGCACAGGTGACAGCAAGCAGCTGTGAGGCTCTGTGGCTGGTGCTTACTTCTGTGGTCATCCACCTGCAGCTGCTCATGTTCACGGCCCGGAAAGGGGTCCACATGGGTCTGCGCAGAGTTATCACCTGGAGGTGACTTCCCTCCCAGGGGACATTCGGCAGTTTGGGGGGGGGGGATGCTACAGGCATCTAGTGGGTGGAGACCAGGGATGCTGCTCAACATCCCACAGTACCCAAGACACCCCCTGCCCCACAGCCAGGATTATCCAGCCCCGAACATTAACAGCACTGGTGTTGGGGAACCTGCCTTTCATCCATTACTCCCTGGCATTCCCTGGGGGGCTTTTATGGGTTTTAAGATAAACCCCAGTAGACAAAAGAAAGAGAAGTCCTTCTCTCTCCCACCGGCCAGAAAACAAGCAAGTGGTCCCCATCGGCTCTGGCAACCATCCTGTGACCCCCAAAGAGACTGTATTAATTCCCTCTGGTTGTTGTGACAACATCAACCCGCTGACCTGAAACATTTACTGTCCCACGGTTCCAGAGGCCAGAAGTCCAAACTGAAGGTGTCAGGAGGGTCGTGCGACCTTCAGAGGCTCAAGGGGAGTCTGTCCCGTGCCGTCTTTGGCAGCTTCTGGGGGTCCCAGCTGTTCCTTGGTTTAAGGCTGCATCGTTCCACTCTCTGCCCTGTCTCCACGTGGCCTTCTCCACTCCACTCTGTGTCACCTCCTCTTCCGTCTCTTATAAGGACACTTACCGCTGGATTTAGGGACCCCCGGATAATCTAGGATGGTCTCATCCCGGGATCCTTCATTTAATTTTATCTGCAAAGCAACTTTTTCCAAATTAGCTCAGACTCACAGGCGCCGAGGGTTCAGACTTGAACGGATCTTTTAGGGGTTCACACTTCGACTGGCTAGAGACCCAGCCTTGGGATGAAGTTGACCCCAGTCGGATGGTCAGTCCGGCAGGAGGAAGCTCGGCCGTATCAGAGAACACAAAGCCCGCCTTACCTCTGGACTCCCACCGCTGCAACGGTGCCCCTTCTTACTTATGCCTGGAGCGACTGTCATCCCAGCTTACACCCCGCACGTTTCCCGGCACAGCAAACACAGGGAGCCCACGGAAACCTGGCAGAATTCCCCAAGCGCAAAGAGCAGTCTGAAGGGTTTGACACCACCTCAGGTTTCTTTTTGGGAAAAACAAAACAAAAACTCCTGAAGCATCACCCTTTTACATTTGGTTCTTCAGTCTGCTTATTCCTTTGCCACACTGCTGTCTCTGGATTTCTGGGGGTTTGGGTTTGTTTGTTTTTTAGGCCCGTTTTTATCATCCTTCATCTCTCTGGGGACTCTCTTCAGGGTTGTGAGCCGCCTCAAAGCCTTCAGGAGAGTAAAGCAGGGGTTACGTGGTTTGTGAGTCAACATTTGTGGTCCTTGGGGTTTCTCAGTCCCAGAGAGGAAGCGGATGTTGGTTGTGAGGGTTTGTGCCTAGAATTAACCCCAAGCCACATTGCACTGGTCTATGCAAGAGATCAGTCCCTGTGGGGACCGCCGCCCCAGTGGGCTGGGCTTCACATTCCTTCCATCCAGGCCCCCATCTCCCCCATGAATGTGGGCTTCTGAATCAGACTGGATTCCAACTCTTCTTGCTCAGGCACCCCAGGGTTTGTTCAGTTTTTGTTTTTAAGTCAACGCACCCACAGTGGGGCTCAAACTCACAACCCCAAGATCAAGAGTCATGTGCTTTTCTGACTGAGCCAGCGGGGAGTGGGGGGAGGCCTCTCTGGCTTTTTTTTTTTTTTTTTTTAGAGTGAGTGGTGGGGAGTTAATGGTAACATCTGTTCATTTCATTTGACTTGCTTGCAAGCAACACCGTTGATGAGGGTTCTGCTTCAAAGAAGCAGAAGGGAATTGATGGGAAGGGACCCAGGAAGTTCACAGCCCTGAGAAAAGCTAAGGAAGCAGGTTTTGTTGAAGAGCACGGTGTAGCAGGCAGAACAGCGGCCGCCCCAAAGAGATCCACATCCCAATCCCCAGGACCTGTTACTTTGCATGGCAAAGGGGGGTTGAGGTGGCAGATGGAATTCCGTTGCTCACCAGCCAATGTAAAGGACAGAGGTGACCCTGGATCACCTGGGGATCCTCCTTAAAAGGGGAAAGAACCAGAAAGATGGCAGTGTGAGGACTTGGCCCACCACAGCTGGCCCTGCAGACAGAGGAAGGGCCTGGGGGCGAGGAATGTGGGGGCCCCTAGACGCTGGACAAGGCAGGAAGCAGATTCTCCCCCTTGAGCCTCCAGAAGGAACACAGCTCTGGCTGACCCCTTGACACTAGCCCCGAGACCCATTCTGGACAAGTGTCCAGCTCATGAAAGAGAAAGACCATTTCAGCAGGTTAAGGAGACATGCCAACTAACACAAAGTGTGGTTCTGGATTGGATCCTGGGTCAGAAAAGAATTTTGTGGGGTTTTTTGCTATAAGGGACATTATCACTGATATAATTCCAATGCCTATAGATTGATATCAGATATTAGCACCATCATTATTATCTTCTTGACTTTGATCATTGTATTTTGCTTATGTTAGCAAATACCATCACCTCCAGGCGAATCCTGTACCTTTGTTTAGAGAACCAGGGGTTTCGCAGTTACTCTCAAGACTACAGTACTACCAGTAGAAGTATTTCTCAAACGTGGTTTTTCCCTGATTCCACAGTGAGAAATGCATACACTACATAAGGATACGTGCACGCGTGTGATCTATGTACGTATGTGTGGTCTGTGTATCCCTGTGGTGAACAGGCTCCTGGAATACCGCACCCCCGTGATTCCCACCTCCTGGCATCCACACCTTCTCCTGCACTGCTGGACAGAGGCCTCAGTTCCTCCCTGGCTGTCCAGCTCTTGGCCTCCCCTCAGGGTGGCTCACACCAGGCGGTGCGAGGGCCAGCAAGCGCGAGCTAGCCAGATGCCCGTCAGTAACCGAACCCCAGAACTGGACGTTCCGTCGGCTTTGCTCTGTTCTTTGCACTAGAAGTGAGTAGCTAGGGCCAGCCCACAGCTGGAGGGTAAGAAGGGAGTGGACAGGGGGCAGTGGGGATTGTTGGGGTCCATGCTGGAAGGTGCCTACCTGAGTCCGTTCATCCCAGACATACCCTTCGGCTGCTGTGGTCCGATGTGGTAACAGAAAGAAAACTCGCCGTATCTATAAAACTTTGAGCCGTCTTTAATCCCACCTTCCTCAGCACTGTAGGCATTTGGGGCAGGGCCACTGGCTGATGTTCTGGGTAGTGGAGGGCATGGAGCATCTGGCCTCCACGAGCATCTCAAATGTTACATGTTTTTTTGTACCTTGATTACTGAGCTTTTTGGTGCACCCCTCCCCCCATTCTGTGCGGGAGCTGAGAGCCAGCCCCGATTCTATCACCGACGCTGCGCAGCTGGTAGGTTTCTCGCTCCTTGCTGTCCCTAGCAGGACTGGCATTACAAGGCCTGTCCTCAGGGGTGACCCCGGCGGCTCACCCAGGGTATGGCACGCGCAAGCGAACATTCAGCAGCAAGGCGAGAACTCCGTCATCACCACACCGCACTGCGAGGTAGTCAAGTTACTCTGCACATTCACAGTGGGAGAAACCGAGGCTCAGAAAGGCGACTGAGCGTGTGCACGGTCCCACGGGGAACCACGAACTTGACCGTGTCTGGCCGACAACTTTCCCAACAGCCATACAGTTCTGCACGGGCTCTCCTGACATGGCCACGCTAGAGGGAGCGGCCTCCTCCCTCAGCAGTTCCCAGTTACACGCTCAAGGCAGGTGTCTGACGGCCCCACGCACCTGCGGGCTGCGGGGCGCACTACACCAGCTGCGCCAGGTGCACATCTGCAGTCCCCATCCACTGTGCCTGAGGAAAGGGCCGCTAGTGCCCCCTACAGGGTGGTGTGGGCATGGCAGCCAGCGTTCCTTAGGCAATACTGCCACCTTGAGGGTGGTGCCGGAATGACAGCAGTGGTCTTGAGCTCACGCAGCCAACACTGCCACCTAGAGGGTGACGTGGCCATGGCAGCCAGCATTCCTTGGCTCTCGCAGCCAGCGTTCCTTGAGCTCACGCAGCAATACTGCCACCTAGAGGGGGTGAAGGCGTGACGGCAGTGGTCTTGAGGCTCACACAGCCAACACTGCCACTTGGAGGGCATGGCAGTCAGCATTCTTTGGCCAATACTGCCACCTAGAGGGGGCTGAGGGCATGACAGCAGTGGTCTGGAGGCTCACACGGCCAACACTGCCACCTAGAGGGTGACGTGGGCATGGCAGTCAGCATTCCTTGGCCAATACTGCCACCTAGAGGGTGCTGCAGACAGAGCAGCCAGCCTTTGGTTGGTCTTGCCGCTCCATCCTGGTACTCAGCCTCCCACGTGGTTTTCATAGTCTCCCAGAGGTTATTTGGGGAGGGGCTGCCCCCTCACAGAGGAACCACCAGACAAATCCAAGCCCACCAGGCGGGCACTTTCAGCCCAAAGTCGCCGGGCTACCTCCTCGTCCTCAGCTTCAGGGGCTGGAGGCTTCTCTTTGAGTCCATCGAAGTACTTTCCAGAAACACCCTCCAATTCCTCTGCCACAGCCAGGTACGTGCTGGGCTGGGCTGCCAGCTGGGGGCTCTTGACCAGCATCCAGAAGATGGGCCCTGCAATCAGCCCACAGAGCATTCAGTCAGCACACATTCAGTGAGGAGGACACAAAAAGCCCTATTCCACCCCCAGGGTTGCCCAGGGCCCAGAGGCCAGATGTGGGACCGCAGTCCCACACAGCCCACCTCCAGGCCTGTGCCTCCAAGGTTCCCTCCACCAGGAGCTCCCTTCCCTGGCACTGCCCAGCCAAATCCCTCCACGTGCAGAGACCAGCCCAAAAGCTGCCTCCCCCAGCAAGCCTCCCTGGCTTTTCCCCAGGCAAATGGAAGCTCTCCCTCCTCAAGTCAGCTCTGAGTCTTTACCCTACCCCATTTTGCTTTAAAATAACTTTTACTTATTAAATGTCTCTGGGGCCAGCCTCAGTTTAAGATCCATGGTATCTGGCACCCACCCCGTAAATGATTTTCAGGATTACAAATACTAGTTCTAAAGTTCTAATTATTTATTCAGCTTAAAGGTGGTCAGGCCCTGTGCTGGCCCTTTTAAGGCCCATCTCATCCTCCCAACAACTGTGAGGAGGACACTATTGTGGCCCTCATTTTGTAGTTGGGAAACCGAGGGCCCAAGAGGTGAAGCTGCTTCCCTGGCTGGCACAGCTAGTTTGGGGTGAAGCTGGTCACCCCGAGCACACCCGGCAGTCAAGCTTCAGGGTCTCCTCTGAGCCTCAGTTTTCTCATCAAAGAGGATCTAGCCTGTTTCCTGGGGCTAGTCTGAGGCCAGCAGGCTGGACACACATGGAGAAGTGACTCATTCCCGGTATCCTAGACGACACAGGGGAGGGGGGTGGAGCCAGGCCACTGACATAGTCTCTCGAGTGTGCGGTTAGTTTTGTGTCAAGGTGACTGAGCTAAGGGATGCCCAGAAAGCCGGTAAAGCATTACCTCTGGGCGTGTCCGTGAGGATGTGACCGGAAGAGATTAGCACTGGAATCAGTAGAGTGAGCAAAGAGATCTGCCCTCGCCAATGTGGGCAGCCAAGCTATTAGTTAAGGGTGAGAACAGAACAAAAAGGTGGAGGAAGGGCAAACTCCCCCCTCTCTCTGCTTGAGCTGGAACATCCATTTCCTGCCCTCAGACGGTGCTCCTGGCCTTCGGGCTGGGACTTACATCACCGTTCCCCTGGTTCACAGGCTTTTGGGTTCGGACTGGGACTACGCCGCCAGCCTTCCCGGGCCTCCAGCATGCAGATGGCAGATCACAGGACTTCTTAGTCTCCATAAACGCATGAGCCAGTCCCGCACGACAGATTTCCAAGCATCTATATATATCCTATTGGTTCTGTTTCTCTGCAGAACCCTGACTAATACCCTGAAGAGAGTCCTAGCCCCCAAGCTGTGAGGGCAGGGGTTCAGCTCAGGGACCCCAGGCCAGGAGGCGGCTTACCGAGTGTGAAGCTGGAGAAGACAGAGCTGTGCATGCCCGTGTGCCTGCCCAGCTCTGTCCTGGCCACACCAGGGTGCAGAGCATTGACAGTCACACCCGTGCCTGGGGAGAGGAGGGAAGAGGAGGGATGAGGGGGTGGGCAGACGCCAGATTCACTTCCCACCTGGAAGGCTGACCCGGCCCACCCTCAGATCCAGGGCTACCCTGTACTGTGCTGGGTCCTACCCTTGAATCCACATCACCTCTCTTGCTCTGAAACTTCCACATCAAAGTGGTTTCATCTTGCAAAGCCGCTCTGTTGCATGACTGCCCAGAGTCTCCCAAACCTGAGCGTATGTAAAAAATCACCCGGAGGGCGTGAGATACCCAAACAGCTGGGCTCCACCCACCCCCAGGGAATCTGCAGCAGCAGGTCAGGGATGGGGTCTGAGATGCTGTAATTATGACAAGCTCCCAGCTGATGTTGCTGGTCCACGGATGCTCTGTGAGGAGCAAGGCAAAGGGCAGACTTTTCAACTTCAGCTCTGTGGACCCTGAGGTCAGATCATTCTTTATCCTGGGCACTGCAGGATGCTGAGCAGCTAGATGCCAGTAGCAACACCCACCCCACCTCCACTCCCTGAAGCGACGGCCACAAGCATCTTCAGATATTTCCGTGGTTGAGAACCACTAGCCTAGAGCACCAACAGCTTAGATGCCTGTGCAGGACGAGCACGAAAGAAACGCCACGACTGATCAGTGATGTCAGCTTCAGGCCCCGTGAACATGGTGGTATGTGTGTCGCACGTCTGCCTGTTCTGTTCTGGGGCCGATGCTTGACCTCCCCGGGGCCCAGGGTCAGAGCAGGACTGTTCCAGGCTCAGAGCTAGAGGAAGAAAAAGGCCAGCACGTACCCTGCAGCCGCCGGCTCAGCTCCCTGGTAAAGAGGATGACAGCCAGCTTACTCTGGCAATAAGCTGCCTTGGTGTCATACTTCCTTTTCTCCCAGTTCAAGTCATCAAAGTCTATGTGTCCGGCAATGTGGGCCAAGGACGAGAGGTTGATGATCCGTGAAGGGGCCGAGGCTTTCAGTTTGTCCAGCAGCAAGTTTGTCAAAAGAAAGTGACCTGGATGAAGGACAACAAAAAGACAATTTCCGCTGAATTCTTATCTGGTACATAGGATCGTACTGAGAACATTACCTTCTTTGACCCTCCCAATAATCCATGGCTCTCAACAGGGGCCAGTTCTCTCCCCCAGGGGACATCTGGCAATGTCTAGAGGTTTTGGTCATCATAACTCTAGAGAGAAAAGGGGGTGCTCCTGGCATCTAGTGGGAGGAGGCCAGGGATGCTGCTGGACATCCTATAGAGCACAGGATGGGCCCACAGCAGTGACCCAGCCCCAGACATCAGGCCCTACGAGAACCCCATGAGGTCAGCTGGGGAGACGGACTGCCTCCCATGTCTCCTTCAGCAATAGAATGGTTGGCTGTGCACCGGACTCCCCAGCGAAAGACTGTATTTCCCAGACTCCCTTGCAGCGACATCAGGTCATGTGACTGTGCCCCAGTCAATAGGACACAAATGATGGTGATGTGCGTTATGACCCTCCAGGGCCTCAACATGTGGCCTTATTTGGAGAGACGGTCTTTACAGTGAAAATGAGGCCATTAGGGTGGGCCCTAATCCAGTGATTGGCACCCACCCAATATCTATGCCCCCCCCTTGCCCTTACTAACAGAACGCCAGTTATACCCAGGGTGACAACAGGTAGGCAGAGTAACTGATGGACAGACAGACTGGAGGACAGACAAAGGGTCAAAAGGCCCAGAGATGGATGGAGAATCCGAAGGACTGACGGAGCATCCAGCAATGAATAGGTAATTCCCTGAGCTGCCAGGTGGCCGCCCAGCTGCCCTGGAGAGCAGAGGAGGACGCTGGCCCTCCCCAGAGCCTGTGCCTGGCCCACTGGGGAACCCCACTCACATCCCAGGCCCACGATATACCACACATCTCTCAGCCCGTGACCTCACCCAAGTGGTTAACGCCAAACTGCATCTCGAAGCCATCCTCAGTGGTCCAGCGGGGGCACCGCATCACAGCTGCATTGTTGATCAGAATGTGCACTTGCTCCTCCTCTGGAAGACAGGGGCGAGGGCAAACATGTCAGTCCCATAAGGGCCTGCATGGAGCGCCAGTGCCATCGGTGGAAAGCGCCCCCAGCACTGGGCTGGCTGAACAGCGTCCCTGAAACATTCATGTCCACCCAGAGCCTGGGAATGCAACCTGTTTTTGGAAAGTCTTTGCAAAAAGTAATCAATTTAAGAGAAGGTCACAGTGTGGGCCACAATCCAGTAGGACGCAGGCTGAGACCCACAGCGAGACAGAGGCAGAGACTGCAGCGATGCATCTAAAGCCGAGGATCACCGACGACTGACAGCCCGCCGCCAGGAGCTGAAAGAGGCAGGGAGGATTCTCCCAGTCTCAGGAAGAGTGCCGCCTGCTGACACCTTGATCTTGGACTTCTGGCCTCCCCAACTGTGAGGAGAACAGCTTCTCATCTCAACCTACTCAGTTTGCTGCACTTGGCGACGGCAGCCCCAGGAAACACACTCCCACCTAAGGCTTGGAGACCTTTCCTGGGAAGGGAAAGAAGCCACATCGGCAGGGGCCTCAGGGCCTCAGACTGGGGGACTGCTCGTGGGAACGTCAGCTCGGCGGGCAGCCTGTGCCCCACCTGATCCCAGACCTGCCACGTCACAGGCACAAACGGCCGTCCCTCTCTGAGCCTCTATTTCCTCATCTGTAAAATGGGATGAGTAACAGCACCTTCCTCCCTGTCTCAGTTAGCAAGGGCTGCTATAACAAAGCCTCACACAACGGGCGACTTGAACGTACCGTGTCCCCATTCTGGAGGCGGGAAGCCCGGGGTCAGTGCGTCTCAGGGCTGTTTCCTTCCAAGGACCGAGGACTGCGAGGGAGACTCTGCACTTGATTCTCTCTCCTGGGCTCATAGGTGACTGGCCGCCTTCTCCCTGTCTCTTCCCTTGGGCCTGTCTGCGTCCTAATCTCCCCACCATACGAGGACACCAGTCCCTGGAATAGGGCTTAATCACGTCCGTACAGACCCTCTCTGCAGATCAGGTCTTGTGCTGAGGTCCTGGGGGTTAGGACCCCAACACATCTTTTGAGGGGACACAGTAGAACCCCTAACACTCTGAAAGTGGTTTGCAGGATCCGTGGGGATAACAGGTTAGTCATCTAGCACCTAGGAAACAGCGTCTGTTTGGCTTTGAGGGTGGAGGGGGTTAGCATAGCCGTCAGGAACACACCCTCTGGAGCCATCAGATGACAGTTCAAATCCCCTGGCTCTACCCTGAGCAGCGGTATGACCCTGGCCAAGTCACGCAGCTTCTCTGTGACTCGGTTTCCCCCTCTGTAAAAACAGATAATACTAGAACTTGCTGGGTAGAATGGGGGAGAGAGAACACCACAGTTCTAGTTGTAGAAAAAAGCCAAGGGAGGGGCATGTGGGTGGCTCAGTCGGTTAAGCGTCCAACTCTTGGTTTCAGCTCAGGTCATGGTCTCAGGGTCGTGAGATCCAGTCCCGGCACTGGGCCGCGCTGGGCATGGAGTCTGCCCAGGGTTCTCTCTCTCCCTCTTCCTTTCCCCTCCGCTCATGCTCACTCTAAAAGAAGCCAAGGAGAGGTATATACACCTGCTTGCTTTATAAATGCACAAACTGTCTCCAAAAGGACACACGAGGACACTGAACACATCTGAGGACGGCAGCTGGTAGCGAGTGGCAGGGAGGTGTTTGGCTGTATCCCCGCTTGTACTTTCCAAATGTTTAATCCTGTAAAATGGTACCCCTGCTTGAAAACATAAAGACGTGAGCCAGTTCCGAGAACATCTGGTGGGACGCGGAAATGAGTGAGTCACCCATGTGACCAAGTGCAGAAAAATGCCCGCCGAATCCCTGCATCTGCGCAAAGAAACACCCAGCAGAGAAAGCGGGAGTTCCGAGCGCCAGGGAGGCTCAGCAACTACTGAGTGATGAGTCAGCATTTCCGCCCGCCTTCGCTGGGCTAACTCATCCGCCGGGTCCCTGCACACCTAACCTCACCTAGGCCTCTGCGTCTTGTCGGCTCTCGGGCCGAAGGAGTTCGTCTTCCTACAGAGCAGGAGTCCCACAGAGCAAACTTTCCCTGTAAAGGACCAGACTAGGTATTTTTGGCTTTGCAGGCCATACGGCCTCTGCTGTCACAGGACTAAAGCAGCCACAGAGAATACGTAAACAGGCAGGACCGTGCGCCAATAAAACTTTATTTATGGATGCTGATATTTGAATTCCAAAGTGTCCACATACCCAGAAATATTACTCTTTTGATTTGTGTAAACAGTTGAAATGAAAAATATTTTCACGGGACAATGTCCGGAGATTTAAAAATGTACGATCTTCACCCATAGAAATCTGCACCTGTCAGAAAACACCAGCACCACACTCTAGGACTTGTGGCCACCCAGGACCTCGCCCCCCAGGGCCGGCGTCCTCCCTCCTACCTTCGATGATCTTTGCGGCAAACTCTCGGATGGACTTGAGGGAGGCCAAGTCCAGGTGCCGGGCGTTGACGTGGTGATTAAGGGTCTCCCCGCGAATGTCCTTTGCCGCTGCCTCACACTTCTCCATATCGCGACAGGCCAGAATGATGTTGCCTCCTGCGAGCCCAGGACAGGAAAAAAATATTTTTTAAATCCTCTCCCAGGTACAGAGAGAAAACACACATGAAAACACGGGTCTGCACAAGAGCGTGTACACGCGAGCACGCAGCAGCACCATTCACAGCAGCCGAAAGATGGAAACCACCCAAATGTCCATCAGCAGCTGAGCGGAGAGGCACAAGGTGGTCCATCCAGACCCTGGAATCTACTCGGCCACGGAAAGGAACATGACACATACAACGTGGATGGACCTCATGAACGTGCTTGCTAGAAGCAGCCCGTCACAAAAATATACGTGGCCTATGAGTCCATTGACATGAAGTATCCAGAACAGGCCGATCCACAGGAGGTAGACGGATGGTTCCCGGGGGAGGCAGGACCTGGGGGGACCACTAAGAGGACCGAGCTGTCACTTTGATGAAAGTGTTCCGAAACTGGCAATGTTCGTACAAATCTGGGAATATACTGAATGCCACCAGAGTGTACGCTTGACACGGGTGAATTGTGTGATGTGTAGACTGAATTTCAACACAGCCATAAAAAAGAAAAACTTTAAAAAACAAGAGAAGTGAGAAGCAGCGGGGATTGGAGGACGGGTGTGGGTCCGCGTGGCTCGTCTGCCCGCCAGGGGCCCAGCTGCCGCCGACACACGCTGCCTCCCCTCCCACCGTCCACAAGGGAACTCAGCCAACCCAGGATCTGTTCATCCTCTGCTGCCGTCGGGCCCTCCAGACAGCGGGGGGTGGGGGTGTCCACCCGATTTCACTTCTCACCCTCTCCTGGGAGGAGCACATGCCCCCTCCTTGGGGAAACCCCATGTGGTGGGGGGGGGGGGTGCTGCCCATCACAGCCCCCACCACGCTGACCTCGGAGGTAGACAGGCAGCTCCAGCCTGGCCCGTCAGGACCCATTCCCCCGGCCACCCCAACCCGTCAAGCCCAAAGAAAGTTTCCAATTTCCCCCAGCCCTCACCACCTGCCTGCCACAGCCTTCCCACCCCAGCAAATCAAAAGGCAAGTCTGGTCTCCCAGTTGTTCAAACCTAAATCCTTGACTTCTTTTCTGGTGTCTGACTCAACAGGAAATCCACTAATTCTAACTTCAAAAGCGATCAATCCTCCTCCGTGGACTTCCTCCATAACCCCAGTCCGAGTGTCCACAGCCTCCTCTAAGACCCAAAGTCTCCCCTACCTCTTTTAGGGACACCAGCCTTTCTGGCTTAAGCCGGCATGACTTTGGTTTCTGCCACTTGCAACCAAAACAATCCCCCAGGAAAGCAAACGCTCCGTCCCAGACCTCACACACCAAGCCAGGTGCCCCCTGGGACTTCACCTCTTCTGGCCAGCTCCAAGGCCGTCTGCTTCCCGATGCCCGTGTTGGCGCCGGTCACAATGACGGTCTTCCCAGGAATGCTGGCCTTGCTGGGACAGACCCCACCCGCAACGTAGTCTCTGCAGGTAAGAAACGAGGTGGTCACTTCTGTCCATGTGTGCACCCTCGCCGCACGTGCCCCTGACTGTTAGGATCTTGGGTGAATGACCCCACTGCGCTTGTGTTCCCCCACCCGAAAGACGGGAAGGACATCTCCTAACTCCCTGGGGGCCAGTGTGGTGTTGCAGGCAAAGGCTCAGTCTTTGTAAAGACCCACTGGGTTGGTTTCCTATGGCTGCCAAACCAAGTTACCACAAGCTCAGCCGGTTAAAACCATGCACAGGTAATCTACGTGTCTGCAGGCATGAGTCCAAGATGGGTCTCACCAAGATAAGGGCTGCGAGTTGGCAGGACTGTGCTCCTTCTGGAGGCCCTAGGGGAGAGGCGGGTGCCGTGCCTTTTCCAGCTCCTAGAGGCGCCCACACTCCGTGGCTCACGGCCCCTCCTCCTCTGTCTCCAAAGTCAGCAGAGTGGAGTCTTCAGGTCACTGACTCTGAAGGACCACTGTGGTTGCACTGGGCGCCTCCCCAGCCCCGGACAACCCAGGACCACCTCCCCATCTCAGGGTCCTTAACTCAATGTCACCTGCAGAGTCCCCTGTGACAGGTAAAGTAAGACCTTCACAGTTCTGAACCCTACAACAGGCACATCTTTGGGGGGCTCTTACCATTTACCCACATTCCCGAGAGGCCAAATACTGGAAACAAGCGAATGTCACTGAGAGGGGACGGGCCACGTAAAAATGCCACTACATGATAGGCCCTGTACAGCACGGAAACCGCCAGCCTCCTGGGGCTAATTTTTTATTTAAGTTAATTAAAAATAAACAGCCATACTTTTTCCCCAGGGCATTCAGCTAACCTTTCATTCTGCCCATCCCATGCTGTCCCTTTATTTTGTTACTATTTTTAGCTCTTCAGAAGTGAAAGACAACAGTATGAATAAAAACAAACAGCAGCTGATGAATTTTATCACAAGGGAAAATTATTTCCATTTAAAAAAGAATCTCCATTTTCTAGACCTTTCAAAAACACCCAGTTAATATCACAGAGCTGCAGTGTAATGAATTATAAATCAGAACTCCCTGAAAATGACTTTATCGGATCAGCAGCAACAAGTTCACCACGAAGCCTCATCACAGCGCAGGCAAATAAACCCAAAGGTAATTATTCAGAGATTTAGTCTATGCTTTATGCCCTTAAAAAAAAAAATATTTCCATATTCCAATTACTTTCAGGCCTCCCAGCCAATCTCTTGTATTGTGTAAATGTAATGAAATTATATATTGCTAATTCTTTTTTTTAATTGTAAGAACACGTGAGCTGCACCCTCTTAACAGGTGTCTAAGTTCAGTATCGTTAACTACAAGCATACCACAAGCCATACTTTGAGCGCTCGGTAGCCGTGTGTGATGGCTATCATAATGGACAGCACAAACGTGAAACACTTCCATCAGCGCACAAAGTTCCACCCAACAGTGCTGCTCTAGAATATTGGGTAGCTGGGTTTTCTGCGGGGGCGCTGGAGGGGTGTTAGCCTAGGAAAGACAAGAACCATGTGTATAACCCGTGCGGTGCAATCACTGGGCAATCCGGTTTGCGTCTCGGGTTCCGGGTAACGAGAGCTTAGGGGGCACGCATTTCCTTGCACCCGGGTCACGGGTGACCTATGGGGACTGCCCAATACACGTCTGCAGGATGGACTCGATGATCAAGGACCAGAAAGTTTACGAGGACTCGGGGTGACCTTGGGCCGTGACCTGCCCTCGAGGCCCTCCCTAGGTTTGCCCCTCCGCCGCACCGTCTGGACCGGTCCGAGGCCGGCGACCACCAAGCGACCTCTCCCTGGCCTGCCACCTTCCCCTCCTGGAAGCTGCCGACCCGCCCGGCGGCGGCGCGCACTCACCGGAGCAACACCGCGCCACCCACCGCCGTGCCCAGCACGGACAGCGGCAGGAGGTAGCGGTTCATGGCGGGAAGGAGCGGGTATCCGACGCGGAGCCCGCCGCAGACGGGCCACACACTCGCCGCACACCCGCCGCGGGGTCGCTCGGAAGAGGAGCGCGCGGCCGGCGACCCACGTGGGGAAGGGCAAGCTCCGCTCGGGCCGAGGCTTCCGGAAAGGGGCGGGGCTTAACGGGGCTGTGGGCCTGTCAGAAGCGGGGCCTATGAGGATGGGCCCCGGCGCGGCTGCAGCTGGGAATGGGGGTTTCCGGAGTCGGGGGCGGGGCCGCCGCCTGGGGGCGGGGCAGGAGGGGCGAGCCTGCGCACTGTTCCATGACGTCACGTTCGCGGCGCCGTCTCTGAGCCGCCGGGCCGCTAGTACGGCGGAGTTTGGCTGCTTCCGGCGCCCGCCGCGCTGCGCTCGCCGGTTGCGCCCGGCTGTGTGCCTTTCCTTTTTAATTTTTTAATTTTATTTGTGCCTTTCCAATAAGCAACCCGTTCCTACCTAAAGTGCGTGTTCACCAGCAGTACGTTTCTCATAGACTATGAGAGAATTTGAGAATTTCGAGACTCCGAACCCAGGACCTACTAGCCTGGGGGTTCCCAAAGTGGTCCTGAGGGAGATCAGGGCGTAGAGTCCTGGTCTGAGGGAGGAGGGGCTGGGGGC